AATCCTCTGATACTTTGGTCCCGGGGACATGCTGCACATCGCTAACGTTGGGTCATGCTAGGAAATAAACGGTTGTCTGAAGTGTTTATAGCTAGTTCGAGAGCAAGCTACAGCCGCACCGCTAACTTCCTGTTTATAACTTGAATGGGATCAAATGATGTGATGGTGCAGCTGTTTTTTCCAAATGTTATCAGAGCAAATGGATCCATCCTTACAGCGAGTCGAGTCATTTCTCCGGGTTGTGACTGTGAATTATCCACAATGTGTGCTAATGGGGAAAAAGCCGTTCTGGGCTGCTGCGCATCAGACGCCACCGCCGCAATTTCACGGTTACAGAAACACGTTAAACACACTTCAGGGCAAAGAGGTGGAGTGAGGACTCAGTCTGCAGGTTTCTGTGCTGAGAGGGTGAATGTGAATGTTGGGAGGCTGTCAGTCAGTCAGAGAACAGGCTCCAACATTACTGCTAAAATCTGTAACACACCACTCTGTTATAATGTGTGTATGGAAGCTTTTTATTGCCAGAAAACAGAATCAAGTTCAAAGTTTCAGACCTTTATTTTTCCACGAAGAGACGCAGTAGCAATAAAACACAGAGAGACATACGGATAAAAACCTCCATACATGAGATATTAAAACACATAAATACATTAAAACAAGGTCCAGTACCATCAGTGACAGCACAGAAGGAGAGTTTATATCTGTTAGCTTTGGCTGGTGGTTGTCTCAAACCAGAAGTGGTTAGGATTAGGTAACTTAAAGTCTGAGTGAAGAAGGTCGGACATGATGGATTCTGCCTTTGTTAGCACACGTTTGTTGTTCTGATGAGTCCCAAATTAAACAGTGAGGAACTTGTAATGATAGAAATAAAAAATATCATAGAAATGTCTCGATTAATACGATTAAGTCGGAATTTTATAAGTATAATACATTTGCTTTTTGTGCAATATTATGTGACTGTTTTACTTATTATGTCATTATTGAGCCTTTATGTCTAATTCATCAACTCTATCTTTATATATGACGTTGCTACAGAGTGTGTGACACGGGAGGTAACACCGACCACTGACCACCGCTCAGAGAGCTAACAGAGCTAGAAGTGCTAACCAGCCATGCGCAGCTGCTGTCAGACTCTCTGAGTCCGCTGCAGCTTTTACAGTCACTAGAAGCACATTCACGCTGTTCAAGTTTTCTTTGTGCTACCTGTTTGTAGCTAAACTAGAGGCTAACGGCTACGTAGCAGTATGCTGTCTGCAGAGTAAAGACGTTGGTTGGTGACGGCGTTCAGATCAACGAGTAGAGGTCGGTCGCACTAAAATGTCCTGATTTGAACCTGAATCAATCAAAAACATTCAACATTGCTAAATACCAATATATTGATAGTTGCTTTGGGGTTTAATTACTATTTCATATTTATTTCATATTAATTAATTGTTCATATTAATTCTCAGTAATTATTTAATATTTATTTGTGGGTGGTTTCAGAAAGCAGTGAACAGGCTCAGTTTGTCCGTTGACATTATCTCATCTCTTCCTCAGCAGAGCGTCGCTGAAGGCTGGAACCTGGCGGTGGCAGCGGTTGCCGTGGCAGCCATTGTAGTTCTGGTCGTCCCCAGCTTCACCAGGGCCTGAGGCTCGCACAGGAAGTGACCTCGCTGGGAAGTGTGGGATTGTGGGATTGCCGTCACCCATCCAGCTGCCCTCATACATGTTGCTGTCCTGATGTCCGCTTGTCGCATCGCTCCGTTTAGTGGGACGGCGCCGCCGAGACGTTGTCACCCGAACGCCACAGACGTCAGTGAGTTCTGGAGGGAAAAGCAATAAGATTGTTGAATTCACAAAGTAAAGACTCTTCCTGTCGTCACTGAGCAGCGCGTTGATTTACTGAGCAAACATCCACCATCATGATCCAAGAGTCCAACTGGAAGCACTGCTTCTAAAATAACAAACAGTCGCTGCCGGTACTCTGATTCTTTACTTCAGTAACACCACGAGTACAAATATTCAGTTACATGTTAAAGTCCTGCATTCAAACAGAAGAATTATCAGTCAAATGCATTTAATATATCAAAACTTCTTCCAATGCAAAACACCCTTCAAGTCACATTGAAAACGTAAATGTAGTTTAATATATAAAAATGTTACATTTTATTTTATGTAAAATTAAATGAATGTAGTGGAGTTAAATTGTTGGATTAGAAGTATAAAGTAGCATAAAATAGAAACGTAAAGTATCTCCGGATCCAATTTAAATATTGTGCTTCTCTAAATGTTCTTATTTATTTTCCTCTGCTGTTTACAGTAACTGTTGCCCTCTAGTGACCAATCACCGAACTGCAGACAACAAAAAAGCAAAACAAAATACGCAGAAAGAACAAAAATACATTTTTAGTTGAGTTTTTCCTCAATAGTTAATAATAACTAATAAAAGTCAAGCAAATGTGTTTTACGTATTGAAATTCCAGCATGTTCACTTTTTGGTCAGTAATAATATAATAAATATAAATATAAAAAGTGTAGCAAAACCAGTTATTTTGGACTTTTAAAGACCAAATATTAATGAGAAGTTTGGGTCCAGTATTTGGTCTCCTTCAGCTCCGGTTTGTTTGGACAGAGCTGTTGATTCGCAGTGGGATCGGTGGCTGTTTGACCTTATCAGAAATATCAGTAATCAATACAATCAGCTGCTGCAGTGTTTATGGATGAAGACCAGAGCTCGGGCTCATGATGGCCGGTGTTTGAGAATCACCACATTAGCTTTTTGCCAAAACATGAATCCTTTAGAGCTGCAACTTACAATTAGTTTTATTAGTTTTAATAATCACTTAACAATTAGTTGATTAATCATTTGGTCCAAAAACCAAAAGTTATTCTATTTACAATTATGGAGAAAAAAAATAATAATAAATAAATGACCCAATAAATAAAAATGCCATTAAATGCACCAAAAATAATATTAAATATAGGCTTTAATTAATTATTTTTACTGACTAGGTAAATAAATACAGAAGCAAATTAAAACAGAAATATCAATTTATGTCACGTTTATAAATTGATTAATATATTAATGTCTTTATTTATTATTGTTGGTGCATTTAATGACATAATTTATTTACAGTGTCATTTATTTATTGTAGATTTTGGCAGTTTCAGTCCTCCATAGAAGATATCACACAGAGAAAAGCAGCCAATGTTTTGCCTTGATAATTATAATATATATATTATTTATAAGCGACTGTGCAATAATCAGTCCAACAATCGTTCCAGCTCTAAAAGTCTTTGCCTTATTTTTGTGTACAGGATTAAAAGAATACTTTGCACTTGGTTGAGACAACGGTAGCAGATAACGTTTGATTGTTTTCATACATTGACTCCTGCTTAATGCTGTATATTATTATTATTATTATTTTTTGTTTGTCCAAAGATTATTATATGTGGATTATTTAACAAACTTGTTTTGTAGCATGAGAAAACTATTCAGAAAATGATCAATCATCTTTATTTTTCCTACCTGTCCGTTTACAGATATTTGTATGTTTATATTTCCAAACCAATTGTACACCTACAGAAGTTAAATAGCACTTTTTTTAACCTTTGAAGAGGCATTCGTTCCAATGAGAGATTATTCGTGTTGACTGATTTCACTGTGCCAGTTTTAAGCTCAGATTGAACCAGAGTTGCTTTCAGTTTCAGAGTTTTTCGGTGAAAGCTAAAGTTCATGTTGTAGAAAATGTGAGTGTTTGAAAAATATGTTTTATTTAAGATCTAAAAGAGTAGCATGTTGTGAAAAAGTAAAGCTTAAACAGCCCCATTCAGACAGGATTTATATACAGTGGGTACGGAAAG